TTTGATTAACCTAATTAATGGTTATCATCGGTTAAATAACGATGATGAACAACCACTTGTAGCAACAACCGATTCACATTCATTCCTGGTTTGTGGAGAAAGTAAGTATTAGAACAATATTTTATTTACGTTCCTAATGTTAGCATGTTTCAAAGAAGTGGAACAGTTTAAACATCTGGTCAGAATAATGATGTAGTATACACAGTGGCTACTCCAATCTTAGCCATAGATATTTGAAACACAAGATAGAACTCTGGCGTAGCAAAAGTGAAGAAAATTTATGCATGTCCAGCCATACGCTACATACCTAGTCCAATAATGACAATTAACTTAAATTTACCTTGCACTCATTTTCAGTAGGTGCCACATGGAATATAAACAAACTTTGTACAGCATACCCACTGTGCAATTCAATGATACAATTTTTATGTGTGGAGAGGTCTATCTTGTGTTTCTAGATTCTTTGTTTAGTCCACCGTGCTGTGCTGGCTTCACCGAGGACTTACTGTTCCACATTGGTCCAACTGGTTATGCCATTAACATATTCTTGGCTGCCATGTTGTTTCAACCAGTCTATACTGTGCTGCTCTCTTTTGTATGCCCATATATAGTCATCATACGCCTATATATGGTCATGTGATGTCATCGTGACCATATTTAGGCATGTCACATGATCTTATCAAATGAAATTTGATAGCCTGGACAGGTTTTATAATTAAGTGTTCCAGATTTGACCAGAGAATATTATATCTTTAATATTTTCTCTCATCTGATTAAAAATTTTATTGCCTCTAAATTCCAAGCTCCTGCATATAGAGGGCGACATACAGTGGCAGTATCTGACTGGAACTACCCATCGGACATGGCGTCAGAGAATTTAACCAACTTGAAGGAGGATGGCTATAGACTGGCAGACTTTTCTCAAGGACCACCACCATTCCAAGAAGATCCTAATTATAAAATCAGGTATGAAATTTAAATACTTGTAGAAGCAATAACAATGATGTTGCTCACCTCACACTACAAACTAACATAATCAAAGTAAATTGTGTTAGTTCAATAAAGACCAAAAAACAAAAATAATGTTAAAATAAGACTGTATTTATTGTTAGGCACTAAACACAATAATGGCTAAAATCTCATGCAATATAATATTGATGGTTGAAAAAGTCTGCCCTTCCATACCATGGTCCTTGAGTTATATCCTGTAAAATGACAAACATTAATTGTTTTTTTCTTGATTTTTCCATAGTCCAACACTTCCAAACTTGAGATCGTCACAAGATTATCAAAATCATAATGGAAACAATGCTCTTTATGATCCTCTACCAGTGTCTACCATTCTGAACTCACCTGTTTATGGCAGCCCTCAGAGTCCTTCAGAACATTCTTCGGATGATTCAAGCCTGGAAGGATTACTGGAGAGTATGTATAACTCCAAAAACAATGCACATTTTGATCGATCCCAAGATCAAGCGGGTGCTACAACTAAAAATCTTGACTCTGTGCCAGTCAAGGAAAAACGAAGGAGATTTTCTGACATCTTGTCTCCAAAGCGACGGACAAGTTTATCTGACATGCATTTTGATATCACAGATACTGTTGCTACAAATGATATTAAAGGAGATTATAAAAAATCTAAAGACAGTCATGTGCAGTTGTTGAAATTTCGAAATGTTCATAGTAGTTCAGATGAATCAGATTCTGAACTAGAGGAAAATAAATCTTCAGTGCCTTCTGGTCATCAAAGAGTGACACCTAGAGACTCCATGTTGCTGCCAAAAGCAAAACATCATTTTAGTCTGTGGGGTTTTGGAAAACAGGACAGCATCAGTGGCTCATTCAAAGAAGAGCCTGATGGAGGTACAATAAATGAAAGCAATACAATTGATCTTACGCTCAATGGGTCACATAACCTTACAGTAGAAAACCATCAGTCTGTAAATGGAGAAACTAAAGGTGGTGATAAACTGATGGAAAATGAAGCAGATTCTGAAAGTAATGACTCAGATATCCCAGTATCTGTGATAGATTTGCCTTCAAATGTTGAAGAGAATGAATGTTGTGGAGTTACAAAACCATCTGATGAAGCACATGGTATTCAGTTGGCAGCAATTGATGCTTTTGCCACACTAGACGCTCCAGCATACGCACCTAGAGAAGCAAAACGAAAAGATATTGGCTATGAATCTGACTCAGGCAACGAAACGATTTCCTCTGAGATAATAGACAATGGAGATGTCGTTGGATTCAGCAATTCACCAAGTGATTATTTAAATATACAAAGTGATTTAGATGATGAAAATCAAAAAGTAACACAGTCCACTGGAAGTCAGTCACAATTAGGAGCAACAGTAAACGTAACCTTACAAAATTCTGACACTGACAGTAGTTCGACTTTTCGAGGAAGTACTCCAAATCTTAGCAATATTGAGGTGAATGAGGAAAGTTTAATTGGAAGTGAAGAAATGAAAACTGTGCCAGAAGATTTTAACAGTATTGACACACTGATTGCATCCATGATGGTTCCACCTCCTCCATCTGGAAGCCCCAGCAGTGATGATTTTATGAACACATTGATGCCACCACCAAACTTTGGTGATGATGATTCAGAAGAGAACAATTTAATTGTTCCACCTCCACATTGTTTTGGAGAAGAAATCAAAGATGATTCTTCTGGGGTTGTACCAGCATTGGACTTAAGTGGCATTTCTCAACAATCATATGAGGATAGTGGTGATGAGGATGAAAGTGAGGATGAGTATATCCCAAATATCTTGCAAGAGATAAATAAAACAGTTAATAAAAAAGAAGATCTGCAGAGTACTCCAGTACATAGTCCTGTGGTAATTAGACGTCAAGGTCTTCTTGCTGTGGAACCAACACAGAATAGTATTGATAGTGGTTTTGTGGCAGAGAGTGTGGATAATGATTCCATATTTTCTCTACAGTCGGCATCCGATAATGGCAACAGAACTGTTACTGATGTTGCATCTGATAATGAGGAAAGTACTCATGAAACTACAGTCTTTACCACAGATGGCACAGATTTCTTTTTGGAAACTCTTGTTGTTAGTAAGTCATCAGATAAATCTAGAAGTCCTTCAGAAGAAAGAAAATGCAATGAAGCAGAAGAGACAAAACAGGACACCCCTCCAACACCAATTCCCCCACCAAGGAAGAAATACAACACTGAGACTTTCAAAAAGAAAATGGCAATGATGAAGGATAAACAATCATCAATCTCCCGTCCAAAATCTCTTGATTGTCTTGATATCAAAAGATCTTCATCTATGAAAGTACGTACTGGATCGATGGAATATCTTGACAATAGGAATAGTGTTGCAATTTATGCAACAATTAAAAGATCATCGACAGCTATTCACAGTAAGTCACCTGTACGTGCAGATGTACTCTTTCAGCACTCTAGCCTCGATACTCCTACTGCAGAAGAACTCAACCGTGGTTTGTGTTCCCCCACTGGAAGTAAAGAGATTCATCGAAGTCAAACATTCTCAAGCAGACAGAGTGAAAAAGTAGTTCCTCACCGTAAAGCACCCCCACCTCCAAAGCCTATCAAACCTAAGCGAAGCCCTTCTCCAATGTTTCGCAAATCAAAAATAAATGATGATGCAGACTCTAATATCACCAGTCCAAAAACACCATCAAAAAAAGAGGCTCTTCTTAAGAGACCATTGTCCTTTTCAAACCCTTTCACAAGAGCAAAAAATGCACTTAAAGGGAAGAAGTCAGAAGATTCTACAGACTTAACAACTAATAAGCCAAAGCCAGGACCAAAGCCACTTAAGGCCTTAAAGTCATTAGGATCACCAGATGCAGCAAGCCAGTCTACATCTTCACATAGTAAAGCTGTTAGGCCTCATTCCTTAAACCTATCAACAGTTAATCATGTTGAATCAATTCAGAGAGACTCTAACATTGTCACTCGCTCTGTGTCGATGCGAAGCCAAAAGGAGATTTGTAATCCAAGTCAGTCACCAGCTGTGAGTCCCTTAAAACATAGCTCATCATTCAGTGTACCAGGTGATATGTCAACATTACAGTCACCTCCTCCTATACCTTGCTACCGACCACACTCACCTAGGATCCCTCCTCCACCAAAACCAGCAACACCACCTGCTGTTTCCTCCAGAAGCCAATCGCCATCATCCAGTCTCAGAACGTCAGCTTCATCACCCAGTTTACAGTTTTATATCGACAACCTTGAATCAGGTCTTGCTTATCCTACCAGAACTCCATCGCCAGTAACTAGTCCTAGTCCACTTCCAAAGAAGTACCAGTCGCCTGTACTAAGTCCTGTGAACTCTAGGTGTGTGTCACCGATGCACATATCAAAGCCCGGACCACCAGTCCAACCAAAACCACAAAGAGGTGCTTCAAGTCCATCACCTAGTGCAGCATCTCTTAAAAGACAAGATTCTGTTTCTGATTCACCTCCACCTCTTCCTTCTACAACCCCACCAATACCAAGCTATTCCCCACCGCAAGGAAGCACTTCACCTTCTCCCTCACCTCCACCAGCACTACCAGCATCTCTCCCGCCCGGAATTGAAGATCCCTTTGATATCTCGCCAGATTCACCTGTCCTACCAGATAATACATATGGATTTGAAGATAATACTCAGGATGATGTCATTGCCATGGTGATGGAGACAGAATACTCGGGTGAAAATGCCTTGAATGATGCAATACAAGATGTTAAGAAATTAGTCTCATTTATCGAAAAGTACTCAGAAACTGTCACACCAATTCCAAATGCGACACAATTCCAAGATCACAAGCAAAGTTTGGTTGCAAATACAAAGGAATTTACAGGGAATGTTAAGTTACTTGTAAGCAGTGCTGCCTTAAGCTTTGAGAAACTTACCAGTCGAGTTGAAGACAGTGTTCATACATTGGCCAGACTATACGATGATAGCAGAGCTGCCATTGCTTCAATGTCTTCAGTGATGCAGGCACATAACCTGGGAACAAAGGTATGTTTGATGATGATTTAAGCCCTTTCAAGACTATCAGAAATGAGTCACATGCCTAAATATGGTCATGATGATATCACCTTATGACCATACATAGGCACATCATGACTATATATGGCAGCTATATTGCAATAGGGGCAAAAATTGTCCATGAATAAATATAAAGGGGCATGGCAAGAGGTGTACTATGGCATATGTGAGCCGTGGGAGGCCCCCTTCCCGAATTAGAATTTTTTGAAAATAATAAGCCGCTAGACGCTCATACAGGGAATCTTGACCTAAGAAAGTAATACCCTTGTGTTTGGTAATGCAAAATCAAAATGTTATATATCACACAATGGGTCATCGGTAATACAGTATTTCTTTGCAGTTTGCTGTGATAGTTTCTTCCAATTTGATTGATTAATTCGCTACAGTTGGTGTGTCAATATATAGGCCTAGTTGGCAAAATAAAATGCAAAATTAGTAATGTTGGAAATCTAGGCCCAAGCCTAACGGAAAATGTTATTTTCGGCTTGTTTTCAGGGGGGCCTCATGACACACACCCACAGGCCGCCAGTTGGGATCTCTTAAAATATGGGCATACAACAGTTTTTTTCTCAAAGAAAAGAAAAAAAAAATCTGCATATTATTATTATTCTTATTATTAAATTACCCCTATAACTAATTATTATCTGTACACTCTATATAGCCCATCAGTGGTTGCCACAAAAATAATCTTGAATTTTAATATGTTTTTTCTGAAAATGCCTTTGTGGAAATGCATGGTGCCTCCAACTGCTTGTCCCATGTTTGCATACTTCTTTGAGGCCTGATATTATCTACAAGAATTGCTACTTATAAAGATTGTTATTATTAATATTCCTTATACAATTGTTATAATTCCTTTCAAGTGTTGTATTTAGCATAAAAAGATTTTTTTTTTTGTATAAGAGACAGGGACCAAAGTTTTTTTTTTTGTTCTATTTAAAAAAAAAAGTTATTATCTTCTGTATAGCATTTTTAAAAATGTTAATCTTTAAGAAAAAATACAGGATTTAGATAGAATTTGTGAATTTAGAATGAGTAGTCTTGTTTGTTAAGACATTTGAAATTTGATGGATGGTAAATTCTGCTAAGGTGCATCATCATAGTTAAGGCCTGAGGCTGTTGACAGTTTCACTACAATGGTTACCACAAAGCCGATGTTTGTTTTTGTCTTGAATCTTTGCCAAGCTTAGTTATCCAATCAGATCTTATGTGTCTACAACCAGGTAATCGCATGACCTCAAGTCTTCTAGAAGAATTATTTGAACAGTAAATTGAGCATGAACATCAGTACTTCCCTCAAGACAGATTATGTAAAATAGATTTCCAATAAATTGTCTATCTGGGCCTCAAACATGAATGTAATTTATAATTTATAGTTTATACCATAGCATTCACTGTATAACATGATGCAAAAACATTGTAGAAAACCCTAATAACAATAAAAACAACAATAACATCATAATATAAGTAGTATATAAATAGTAGTAATCCACTAATAATAATAATAATAATAATAATAATAATAATAATAGTAATAATAATAATAATAATCACAATAATAATAATAATAATCACAATAAAGTGATCATAATAAAAATAACAATAACAATAGTAATAATGGTGAAAGCAAAAATTATTGATTTCTATAAATGTCATCCAGTGATTTTTTTGGAATATGGAGATAGTTGGCAATTGTCTGCAGGCTAAAATGAGGTTGTTCCATAGCAAGGGGATATTGTGAAAAAATGAAAAATGTGTGCGATAGTGCGTGCAGGAGATAAGTGGAGTGGGGGATGTGGTGTACGTGTATTAAAAGATAATAAGGAGGTAACTGAAATGTTAACATACTATATAGCCATGCATCATTTTGTAAATGAACATAAGGCAAAGGAAATTTCTTCTGTCTGTAAGAGATTAAAGTGAGTAAGGCAAGGAAGGAAGGAATTTAAACAATGTACAGTATTAATGGGATGGTTATGCTTTAAATTTATATAATCAAGAAGAAATATAAATACTTTATTTTTTGGAAATTTCCACATTTCCTTGGTGGCGAGTGCACTCTTTGGCCCAAAGTAAAATTTTATTTTTATTCAAAAAATCACTTGGCGGGTGGCAGGTTCACTAAATAGGTATGAAAATAAGTCTCGCCTTACACATACTGTTAGACCTATAAAAACAATTTGCTGTAGCAAGCCTATGAAAAGATCACAGTATTTTTTTTTTATTGGCGTTCTTGAAGGCCTGAACCACTTCTAGATATAGGGTTACCTAACTGTAATTATTAATAATTGTTATTTATTTATATGCCATGAACTGCTTGCATCTAGGACTGAAACATGCAGTTGAAGTACTGTCATGTGTCAGAATATTTCCCCACACTATTAAGTTTTATTTGTCTATATTTGGATGTGATATGACATAATCATGCCCAAATATGGGCAAATCATATAAATTGGCCTCATAAGTCTTTCTAGTGTTGACAGACCTTATTCCATGAAGCATAGATGTTCTGTAGTCTGCTGAAGTTGTATTCATCGCCATGAACCAGGACAATAATGCCCCATTGTTGTCTGTGATAGGCTCTACTCTTTGGTATTGTCATGCAGTTCTCTTTAACCTTGGAATTAGTTAATGATTTTGGAAAACTATAGTTTAGTTTTCCCATCTTGTAATTGATGCTATTTTGCAGACAAGAAATCTGTTGTGTAGGCTAGATACACACTGTAAACATCAAAATTTGGGTGCAGCACACAGTGTTAAATCAAAAATTCACTTTGGCCCTCCAACCGATTTTTATGCCCACCCCTGAACTAGGCCTGTGTGAATCTGTGAATAAAGTATGTGACCAGGGAGATGTAAAAAATAATTTTTTACATCTCCCTGATGTGACACTATATGTTACACAACATATTATTATTATTATTATTATTATTATTAATATTGTTATTGTTATTATTTTTATTATTATCATTAATATTAATATTATTATTGTTCTTTACAAAAATAATAATAATAATTATTAATAATATTATTATTATTATTATTATTATTAGGATTATTATTATTATTATTATTATTATTATTATTATTATTATTATTAGTAGTAGTAGTAGTAGTAGTATTTTTATATTTTTAATGAGAAAATATGAAATTTCCTGTTTCAAAAAAGCAGCTTTATAAATTCAACCCCCAGTAAGGAATGTTTAGACACTTACAGTAGGTGGATGATATAATGTTGGATAACAATTCATTTAATTTTACCGACAAGTTATTTTCCTTTGTAAAATTAAAGCATAATTTGAATCTTGTAAATATCAACATCCTGAAAGTTATTGCTTTCTAATTGGCTGTGATTCAGTATAACCTCACATATATGAAGCTTGCAATAATACAGTACTAGACACTATGATCCATACAGTAGATACTGTATTTCCAGTAGAGGAGGAATCCTCAATGCTTATAACATTGAGCATATTTTTTCCTCCTTGGTGAAAAGTGATAGAGATGAAACTATTTAATAAACTTTTAATTTGTGTTGCATATGAACAAGGTGTGTGATCCAAGACAGGTACCAATATTAAGTATTAGATAATATTAAATAATATAATAAATAAGATTTGTATAGCACTCTTTTGAAGAAATGCTCAAGGTGCTTGAGAAGGTAAAGAGCAGAAAACAAGATTTTGGATAACAAAGCCAGTAAATATCCTGTAAACTAAGCTGATGAAGAAAAACCAGCATTTGTGCTCCATTTACCAGCACTTGAAGCTCCAGTTGGCTTTGGAGTTCCAGCCTTCGCACCTTATTTACCTTGCTCAGTAGGTGTATTCTCTCACCCTTTCATATCCCAGCTTTTGTTTTGTGGGGGATAATTAGCACCTCAGGTGTGCAGTAGACAATGGACCAATCATGTCCTTACTTACAGCTCTGAAGGTCACAACAGATCATCTTGTTATCCAAAGCTAGATGAAAACCTAAAATCAACAACATTAGATTTACAATGTAATGGTGTTGTTGTCACCTGTTAGCACCCCTAGATTTGCATTGTTTTATGATCAGACACACATCAATTAGTTGTGGTGGCCGCTGGTAACACTCTGTGATTTAACATACAGCTGGATAATCCACTGTAACATTGGTTTTGTCAGACCTTATACATGGGTGCTGTTTATTACTCAAAAAAATACTTATTGGGGAATCTTTTCTTCCCACATTAGTTTTCCAACACACGAATTCATCATCTTTTCCTGATTTATGCTTTTGTTGAGGAAAGGAGATTCTACTCAGCACAGATGTATCTCGCGTCTCCCCTAAGTTGTGGGAGTAGCCCGGAAATAGGGACGCCCTCCACTCCCACACTATCCCAGAAAATAACTGATCTCCCACAAACTCAAACAGTTTATTTTATCTTGATTGTAAAATTTTAACAGTTTACTCACCTTGTATACTGTATGATGATTTTTTTAGTTTTTATATAATGTTTTTCTTAACCTTCTGTTTTTGTATTTCTAATTACTACATTACTGTGCTAAGTAACAATGTAATTGTTTTTGTATTAATTTTTCTACATTTTATACTACTGTGCATTACTTTTATTTATACGACCTATCAGCCAGTGAAGCAATTCTATGAAAAAAAACTGAGAACTACAAAAAAAATACCCTTGGATGAATCAAGTTTTCCATGTTGAAATAAAATATTTATTATATTATTATTAAATTCATTAAATCTGTACTACTGTATTATTACCACTTTATTGTTGTTTGTCTCATGTAAACTCTAACTCAGTGTTGATTGGTAAAACCATAATTAGATTTTCTAAGTAACAATGTAATGAAGGTAAACTTGAAAATAAATGACAAAGACAAAAAAAGCAAAAACTTGAAAATAAATAACAAAGACAAAAAAAAGCAATTGTGTTGGATTAAGACCATTTACAAAAAGTTATTAACAACTAGATAATAAAAAAAAGAACAGTAGGATAGATTATTAAATTAAATATAATATAAATAAACAGTAAAAATTAACATAAAAATGCTAAAGTTCTTA